TTCCCCCTGATAATATTAAATGGACATTTCTATCCTTAAAATAAATATTTTATTTATTTTTCTTCTTCAACAAATTATTGCTTATACGTAGGGATGACCACGGTTTGGTTCGAACTGAACCAAACACTATAGCAATCAAATAAAAAAATTTCGGTTATGATTCATAACATAACCCAATATTTGGGTTTCCGTTTATTAAAATCGTGAACTGGAAAAAAATGGATCCTGAACTGTGAACCGGAGGTTCAAATCAGAACAACTACTAGCAATAGCTTAAATTAGAATTATAATATTTGCAAATAGTGTATGTTTTTTCCGCATTTATATTGACTCTCACATATAAGTATATATAATCGCGGTTTGAGTTTTATTTTGAACCGTATGTTCACGATTTTGGATCCAATTTGAACGGTTGGTTCAAACTTTCTTTTAAAATTTTATTTTTTTATTTTTAAAATATTCTAAATTCAACACTTAATGTATTTTATTTTTTCAAATCGTGGTTATAATTTGTTGAAGAAGAAAAATAAATGAAATATTTATTTTAAGGATAAATATGTCCATTTAATATATCAGGAGAAAAAACTGCCACTTAAATAATTTAGGGGAAAAAAGTATTATAAGTATATAACAAAAAGGAAAAAAGTGCCATTTTTCCATATTTATGTCTACATTAATAGGGGTGTTCAATCGGTTAACCGTTCGGTTAACCGAACCGTTTTAACCGAACCGAATTAACCGAAGTTTTTTTTCTTTTAACCGTTAACCGAACCGAAGTTTTCTCTACCGAATTCACCGAACCGAAATTTTTTTCGGTTAATCGGTCGGTTAACCGATTAACCGAACTTTTTAAAGTTAAAATTTAAAATTCTAAAAATAACACCTAAAATAATAAATCCAATTAAAATAAAATACATATTATAATAAATTCATAACAAAATATACAAAAACATTAATTATAAACTCCAAACATCCATAACTTCAAATTAGTATTTATATTTATATTATTATTTATATATATATTACAAACTTCGGTTAACCGTTCGGTTAATTCGGTTAACCGACCTTTCGAACCGAATTAACCGTTAACCGAAGTTTTAAAATTTCTTTAACCATTAACCGAACCGAAAAAGTTCGGTTCGAAAACGGTTAACCGAAATTTGTCGGTTCGGTCGGTTAACCGAAAATTATCCGAAGTTTGCACACCCCTATACATTAACACTACTATAATAAAGTATGTATTCTCTTCATCAACAAAATATTTAATATAATGATGATATGGACTACCTTATTAATGTATATATTTATCTCTGACAACTTTAGTTTTTAGATTTATAAGCTTTTACTTTTCGAGATTAAACATAATTTAATAAAAAGTAAACACATACTCCATATTTCACTATTACATATTTTTTTTTTAGTATTATTGACTTTGTTACAATGTAGTATCTGTTCATAACTATTTTCTCAACTTACTGAATCACAAACAGTCAATACCGTTTGAAGCTCGAACGCATAACCTCCCATATGAAAGAGCAATTAGCAAACAACTAATTGGACTGGCCTACCCCGTATTTCAATATTACATATATAAATAATAAAAATTTCTAAATTTAAGGATACTTGAATTGGACTGGCCTACCCCCGTTTTTGGAAAAAGACAAAGATAAATATGGTAATTTATAAGGGGAAATTGTAATTTACGCCCCTTACAAATATGTCAATTATCAATGTCACCCCTGAATTATCAGTGGTGTAAATGTTGCCCCTCAATTTTCAAAACGTGACATATATTGCCCCTCCCCTAATATGAAGAAGGAGAAAAATTGTTGCCTACGGAAGGAGAACAATCGAAGAAAGAAAAATTGAGAAAAAAAAACGTGGTCTACGAACAAGAAAGACGGCGGGTAACCACATTTACATCACTAATAATTCAGGGGTAACATTGATAATTGGCCTATTTGTGAGGGGCATAAATTACAATTTTCCCTAAAATGAAGTTTGACAATTCTTAACTACCAAACAATTAACTGTCGTGGACAATGCTACTTGAATTGCATACTTGCAATCGTTATATCATCCACCATGTGGGGGATCGCAAGCAGTTACGTTGCTGAACTCTGAGGTCTGAGAGGACTCATTCTTGTTAGAGATCAAGGGATGGAAAAAAATTGTGCTCGAGGCGAATTCTGAGGCGATGGTCCGCATAATCATATCACTAAGGATATTAATTCCTGTCCTAAAACTGACATCATGATTTTGGACGGTAGAGCCATCATGAGACAAATGCGGGAAGTCAACATCACATATGTCTTGCGTAAAGATCACCAATGTGCTGATTTCCTTGCCAACCGGGGACAGAACTCTGAGTGGGGGACGTGAATCCTGGATTAATATCCTAATGATTTGATGATTTTCTTGGAAAGAGACGCGAGAGACGTAGCCACTAGAAGAATCCATTAATCTGGGGCCTTGTGCCCCTCTGGCGCACAAAAAAAAAAAAAATCATAACTGATATAAATGGTTTCTTTAGTTGTGTCACTTTTTTTGCACAATCAAAAACAATATTGATACTATATATATATATATATATATATATATATATATATAATCTGTTAATTATAAGTACATAATCTATTAACTACAAGTTTATAAAAGTTAAAAAAATTATTAATTTTCAACCCGATATTTTTTAAAAGTATACCATAATCATAATTACATGTCAAACACAATTTATGAACCTTTATCTTTAAGTTTATTTAGTTACACAATCCACATATTATGAATTTAGAATAAAATTAAAATTACTTGACATGATATATTTATTATTAACAAAATTATGTACTTAAATGTTTTCAAAAAACAAAAAGTTATGTACTTAAATATGTAAGTTTATGTACATATAATTAACATATAACGTACATACTTCAAAGCTAAGGTAAATGCCGATCAAATAGATGAAAAAAAAAAGTTTAAAAAGGTCATATTAATTTAAACAAATGACACCATTTTGGACCAGAATTCACTTGCAGGGTGAAATATTTATATATAGGTTGTATTAAGTGATTAGGAATTTAGGATATATAATTAAATTAAATCCACACTATTTTTGTAACCCAATCATTCATTTTTGATCAATTATTGAGCATATGCATAGTGACAATTCTAATTTAGTTAGTTTAAAACATTTAATTTTGATGGATACATTTAGCAAGGACTTTCCCTCTAACAAAGCATTAAAACATGCATGCAAGGTAAAACATAGGGATGAAAGATATACAAACTAGACTAGTATATAGCCATGCATCTAATCAGCATCCTAGTTAACTATATGCACGTGCTTAGTTCAATAAGTAGTATTTGAGACAAGAAATCAATGTTCAAATTTCAGCGGCGGCAGTGTGTGAATTATGTCCAAACTGGGCAGATCCCTTGTGCGCACTGACATGACATTTGATCCTGTCTGCTGAGCCATTGAATCACCTTGATTTATATCCTCCCAAATGCTTTGTCATACCGGAGTGTGGAAGGTTGGAATTGGGGATTCAACATTTTGGGAGAAGCATACTTCTAATCAAAATTGGGGTCCTATGCAATATCTTAATTTGGGCCCTTTTTTTTTTCAAAATAAATAAAAACGAATCATTTGGTTTATCACTGCGATCAACATCATCTAAACAACTATCAACATTCTTATTATTTTCATTGTCATAGTGACACCTACTATCGTTGTGTACACTATCATTTAAATTTTTTCCAATCTCACAATCATCTTGATCTTCTATATGAAGATTAGCATCTAACAATTTTTTATTGGCATCATCTTTTTGCTCAATCTATTTGAGTTTTTTTTTTTTTTTTTTTTTTTTTTTTTTTTTGTAATAAAATTTTCAAGAGCTCCCTTTTGAGATTGAGTTAGTTGCTCAATCCTTCTTTTCTTTTTACACTTCTCAAACCCAAATGAATATTTTCTAGAAGACATAAAATCCTAAGAAAAAATTTAATGAACTAGCTCTTTATTTTCAAAAAATCCTAAGAAAAAATAAAAATTTATTTAGAAACTCTATCAATAAATAATTAATCAAGAAACGAATTCTTGAATATATTATTCTGAAATCAGAATTATTAAGTCATGTAAATAAAACAATAAACAAGAATTATGAAAAAATACGTAATTTTAGTTACCTGTCAAGAAAATTGAAGAACTTGAGAGTTTGTATGACAAAAAAAATTGAAGAACCAGTAACACACGAGCTGAGCTTGTTGTCTTTGCATCAATTCACTAGCGTCAATTCACTAAATTGTGCTGCCTAAAAGACGTCAAAGAGTTCCCTCAAAAAATAAAACGTCAAACAATAAAAAATATAAATTAACAACCAAATTGAATATTTAAATAATTAAATTACTAAAGCAAGTCAGCAAAGAATACAAAAAAATTAAAACAGTAAAAAATACAACTAAAATTTGATAATTTCCCAATTGAATTTACCTAAATCCTAATTCCTAATCTAGGAATTATCAAAAAGAAAATCCTAATCTAGCACTACAACAACTCAAATTTAATATTACAATTCTTTCAATTACCTAGATAAATTTTTTAATTGTTATAGGCAGTAGGCTTGTAGTCTCTTTGCCTGCAACTAGTTGCTAGATTAGGGATTTAGGATAGGCTTTGTATTCTTTAACTTTGTCGTTAATTGTTTCAAGCTTTGTTCGAACTTCGAACTAGACTTCTACTAGATTAGAGATTTAGGCATTTAGGTTTAGTATAGGCTTTTATATTCTGCAACTGCGAGCCATATATACATTATTTTTCTTTTTTTAAATAAGGGGCCCCCAAATTTGGGGGTCCCTGGGCAGGCATTTGTATAGTCTCTACCAAATCATAATTAGGATCCCGAAGATTACCTTTACCCCTAATTCATTGAATAGCAAGTAAAGAGTCACTCCCTAGCAAGGGAAAACATTTGTCCCCACACAAAATGTAAGTTGTATGGTACATAAACATAGAATAAGTTAAAATTAAAACTTGTACATTAAATAACTAATAGTTCAATGGATCGAAAGTAGACTTAATTCAGAGACCGTACGATCCCATCCTACTGAGCATTTCCAAGGAGACAGTGGAGCTCGTCGAATTCGTCCCAGCTGAAGCCGTAAGGAGGAAAATCCAAGCCGCCATCCGGATCGCCGCCTGAGGACGAGCTACTTCTCTGATAATCGCCGGCCGGCGGCGGCAGCGGCGGAGCAGTGTTCTGTTGCGATGTCGATGCCGCCTGGTTATAATAAGCAGCCTGAGGCGGCGACGGCTGAAACGCTGCTGCGGTAATTGCTGGACTACTGCTCGTCGGCCGCCGGTCAAACGCCCTAACACATTTTGCTCTTTTGTAGGCTCGGCACAGGCTGAATTCTTGGTGCAACTGCATGTATGTATGTCATCATGTAATTAGTACAAAGTACTTTCAAATTATAGGTATATATTCTGTACTTACAATTAATTGTTTATATACACCCCATGGGCAGCTCAATTAGTCATAGAGGTGAAACTTTAGAAGAATGACCCGGGATCGAGTCTCAACAGTGATAGTGTGGGAGCTACCTCGGGTCGGAGTGTGAAAGAATTAATTGTTTATATACCTATAGTTACAATTTTATATGTCTGTAATTAACATGTTATGTACCAGATACATAAACAATTAACTTTAGGCACAAAATATATCAATCAGGCATAATTTTTGGATTCTAATCCACGATACAAGATAAACCTTGGTCCATAGTATTAAATTGATTTCTAATCGAAACCAACAACTATAACATTACTATAGAGGTGAAACTTTGGAAGAATGACCAGGGGTCGAGTCTCACCGGCGGCAGTGTGGGAGCAACCTCTCAAAGTGAGGGGGGCTCCTTGTGCGTAGTGAGCACCGGTCTAGTCTCTGTGGTTCATGTTCAGTTGAGTCACCATGATTTACATCCTCCCAAATGGTCTCTCGAACCGGGGTATGGGGGACCTTTAGGGTTGGGGTTCAACCTTTTTGGAAGAACATTACTATATATATAGTATTGGTTTGCATGCAATAAGGTGAAATGTTTAAAATAATATAATGCATGAAAACTGTAACGAAACACCCATGGCTGCTGCCGCAGCCGCAGAACCTTCCTCCGCTACAAAAGGAGAAAAGAAAAGAAAAACTGAAAATGATAACCAAGTGTATGGAAATTTCATGATCTACATGAAACTATTATGGGGTATGTAGTATTTTTTTTAATTTCTATGAAATTTCAGTTTTTCTTTCCTTCTTTTGGAAACATTCTATGAAATTTCATTTTAAAAGGAATTACTTAATTTGATAGTAAAGTTTATAGAAATTTCTTTTTAAAGACAATATAAATTTGAACCAATTGCTTCCATCCCCTTAGTTCAAATCACTTACCATACAAATATTTACGGAGCATTTATTTTTATGAGGGGTTTGGTTTCAAGTGTTCCTCCAAATATATATACCCACACATATTCTAATATGCTCTCATACCAAGTAAGGTAAACTTATAACAAATATTCTTAAAATATTATAACAAATCCATTTTGTGCAACGTAGAAGTGAAAATATGATAAAAGTTTTATATGTATAAAATCTCAAACCCTCCCGACAAAAAAAAAAAAAAAAATACTCTCAAGCCGTGCTCCGGAGGATTTTGTATAACCTTATAGTTAGAATATTCTAATAATAGTTGGAAATTATGTAAAATTAAACCTAAACCAGATCTTTGGTTTCCTTAACTTGGGTGTTGTTTGGGAATGAATAAACCTGAATTTGAATCAAAATTCCATCTTGTTTGTTGTTTCATAAAAGAACTAAAAACAGTATATGTAGCTAAGCTTATGAAACAATTATGGTTATATATATATATATATATATATATATATATATATATAGATACTAGGTTTGGTGTGAAGTTATCAAGATAGAAATATATATTCTAGCCTTTCTTGCTAGGGCAGTGTTTGGAAGGATTTTGTATGACCCTATAATTTATAATTATTGTGATCTCAACAACCAAAAAATAGTTGGAAATTATTTTAAAAACCCTAAAATTAAAGATCCATATATATTTTATTTGGGTTGTTACATATATATATACTAAGAAACTCCATGGAAAGTGTTGGGTACCTTCAAGTTTGCAGAATTGGTAATGGATGATGCTGAAGCTTCTTCTTCAATGGCTCGGTACTCGTTCATCTTCCACTCCGTCTTCCTCCCACTGGGCGCTCTCCCTCTGTAGAAAACCATGGTTCTTTTCCCTCCAACAATGCGATTATTCACCGAGTAAACGCACCCCGGCGAGCCGGTGGCTTTCCAGTACCCTTCCGCCGTCAGCCTCGTCGGCCTCCCTCCCCGCGCCTCCCTATCCTGCCGAGGAATAAAGAAAAACCACTGCTCCGGGTCGCTCCGGCTATACTGCCCCGCCAGTTCTGTTTATTAGTAAATCAAATCTTTGTTAATTAAGGTTTAGTTTCGATCCATGCATGAAATATGTTGATGAAATCCTTAAAAATAAAGCAAAACATAAAGACTTACGTGGGAGATCCCATGGATTGAAATCATAGATATTAACGACAGGGATGACGGTGTGGATTTCCTGTCGTGCTCCTTGAAGCTTGTTTCTTAGGTAAAAAGAAACCAGCTCTTCTTCTGTGGGGTAGAATCTATATCCTGGTGGGAGATCAGATTCTGCAGACATTATTATTATATTTCTTGCTTTAATTTGCTAGCTTGATGGATCTATCTAGTGTGTGTGTGTGTGTGTGTATGGTGGAATTGAATGATTAGGTTTTTGAGGAGAGAAATGGTTGTTTCACTGCACGTATATGTAGAGGATGATGGATTACAGGTCGTCTTTGATTAAAAAACAAGTCAATAGAAAAAACTAAATTTTATTTTGCATTGTGGGCCGAGAAGGTTTCGATTCGATCGGAAGATAGATCGAATGGCTATAATTACTAGAAAGGGTTCGTGAATGATCAAACTAAAGAGGACATATAGTGACATATTTATAGGGACGGAACCCCTTCTCATGTCACGCGTTTAAACCAGAATATATATACTTTTCAGTACCAGGACTATGTGGTCCAATGGTATCCGGGTTGGACTTCCATTTGGAAGGTTGTGAGTTCATGCCTCAGTAGAGGCGTTATTAGCTCTTTGTGTTTCAGTAGGTTGAGAAAGTATATGAACAGATACTACAATGTAATAGAGTTAGTAGCATTCAAAAAAAATTTTCTCATAACTACTTTTTAACCTACTGAAACATAAGAGATCAAACCCGTGATGATATCTCATTTAGAAGAGTCATTTCGTGCCACTAGACCACAAGGTTATTGGCAACAATATGAATAAAAGTTGTTATGCATCATTATTTAAAAGTTATTGTTACTCGGTATGAAAGAATATTTTTTAATTTTATTTATTAGAAAGCTAGAAAAAGAGAATAAACTTTTTGGGTGTGTATGGTAGGGTAAAGAGAAGGGGAAAGGACTAAAGACCGAGTAGGAAGGGACGGGTAACGAAAATGGAGTCAAGTCGCGTCTTAATTTGAGTGGTAACTTCCGTCTTCGTGTGATGAAAGGAGACAAAATTATTATTGTTAATTTTCTTTTAATAGTGCTAATTATATTTTAGTGTATTATTATTAAATTGTTAAATGCTGTGTTCGTACTACTTAGTAGAATTAGTCAAGGTCCAAAGTTCAATTCATATACTATTTAATTCGTACTTTATTTTGTGATACCCCCTTCAAATCTATAAAGTTTCGTCTGGACCCCTTCCATCATTTTTGCTTTCTATTACGCCGTAGAGTACGCGTTTACGTTTACGAAAACAGAAATTTGATTCTATGTGAGCCTTATTACAATTTTTTTTCTATATGGTATCTAAATTGGACTCAAGTTACAATTGTAGAATTTAATTCTCACTCAATAAAAATATAATCAAAACTTTTTAACATAATGTATCATTTAGAATGGTTAAACATAGACCTTAACGTGTCATCACTATTATAATATTATTATAACTAGTATTTGTCCCGTGCGATGCACGAGAAATATGTTATAGAAATATACCCTATATGAGGTTTATTCATATATAAAAATTTTGTTATTTAATAATTATGTGTGAATTGCTATGATAAAATTATGAACATAAATATATTTACAATTAAAATAAGAATTGATATTTAAGTGGGTGATTACTACAAATCTTAAACTATATTAAAAATTTAGTATATAGTATTTAATATTACAAATTTTTAAGAACTTAGTAAACTACAATAGTAATTGAATTAATTACAATTTTCAGAGTCACCACGGATCAAAATTTTTAGACCTTTAAGATTTCTAACTCTATATGTAACAACATACAATTGACGTTTAAAGAACAAACAATTATTTATAAATATAAATGACTATTAATCATCATCACCATTTTCTAAATAATAATATAGAAGATCCAAAAAATTAAAGAATACAATAATAATAATGATAGAGATAATAATTGTAACAATAATTGCTCACCAAAACAATAATTGTAACAATAATTGATCACCAAACCATATGGCTATATTATAGTTAAGATTCATTTGTTGTATTTGATTATTATTGACAAAGCAATTATACCTCTTAAAATTACTCTTTAATATTCATTTTTGAAATGTTTGAATTGACAATTAGTGGACAACAAATAATAAATTGTGTTTCGCTCGACTCGTACTTACCCTCTTTGTTCATCTTCTTCTTTCGTGTTTTGGATTATGCTCTAACAAAAAATTCTTGTACTATATTCCGTATATAGTTGTTGGTTGGAATTATAATCTGAGGATTATGAGTTTCATTTTTGGTTTATATATATATATATATATATATATATATATATATATATATATATATATATATAATTATTTTGCGATATTAAATCGACTTTAATTTGGTTCATTATTTCACAACACTAAGCACGTGCAGATAGTAAACCTCGTACTTAAGATGGTAAAGTTGTTGATCATAAATACAATTACACCTGGACTCTAAAACGATATGACCATTTTCTAAAGAATTTATTATGTTGACATCACACTGGCTCCAATTGAACAAGTTTACACATAAGAATGAATTTTATCAATGCATGAAAACTTCTAATAAGTTAATTTTATTATTATAATAATATCTATTTTGTAACTATATATTTTAAATTATTTATTATCATTCTCTATTGACATGAATTGTAACAACTGTGATTGACAAACTCTCAAAACAATTTGTCATAACAACGAATGGAAATTAAAAAAAAATTAATGATTTCATTAGTGTTGATGAAAAGTATGTACGCCACTTTATTACTCTTATTAAATTAAATAAATTAGTAGCTACGACAAAAAATAATACATATGCATTTAATTAATTTAGAATTATATGTCTATAATGTCTTTATTTTTAAAAAAATTATTCATTATAACAAATTTAAAAAGAGATATAATTTCATTAGTTATATTATATTTATTTTCTACAATTCAAAGATTCACTACTTTCAAATTTATTGTATTCACTACATTGTCCGCTGTCTTCTTTTTACATTATCTTGTTATTAAATATCAAAGTCTAATGACACCCGGGTTGGACTCCCACATGGGTGGTTATGAGTTCGAGCCTCAGTGGAGGCGCTATTGACTTTTGTGCTTCAGTAGGTTGAGAAAGTAGTTATGAATAGATACTACATTGTAATAGAGTCAGTAGCATTCAAAAAAAAAAAAATATCAAAGTTATAATACAAAATATGTTATATATAGAGTAAATACTAAAAATGGTCCCTCGACTATAGCTAAATTCACAAATTGGTCATCGACTTTCAATTTCAACCAATTAAGTCCTTAACTTTGTAATTGTACAACGTTATCCAACCGTATGCACTATGGAAGGTGCACACGGAATTGGATTCATAATTTCTACACTATAGATCCATAATTCCTATACTATAGATTCATAATTTCTATAGTATAGATTCATAATTTCTAAATTGTAGATTCATGATTTCTAAACTGTATATTCATAATTTCTATATTATAGATTCATAATTTCTATACTATAGGTTCATAATTTCTAAATTATATAGTTATCAAATTATGAACATATAGTTCAGTAATTTGTGAATATGAAGTTCAACAATTAGAAATATGAACATTGAAAATTATGAACATAGAGTTTTGTAATTGTGAATATAGAGTTCAATAATTATGAATCTATAGTATAGAAATTATGAATACGCATGGTGCACACGGTTGTACATCATAATCTGCCCCATCATTATAGACAATATTAAGTTAAAGCCAAACTGAATATACTAAATTACTAACTAAATCAGTTGTTGATTTAATCATTTACTTTTACCACATCGACTTAATAATACAATGTATTATATTATATGTGAAAAAATACTTTTAAACCCTCCATTGAAGGTGTACAAAGTGCAAATGCTTTTGTTAGGAGGGGGTGGGGGAGTCCTCTTAGTTTTACCTTCATTTTTCACTATCTAATATGACATTTTGTTTAATAAGGTTTAAAAATAAAATAATTTTTTTTATATTTATTAGTTACATATGAATTGATTGAATCAACTATAACTCTGTTTGGCAGAACTTATTTAGAATCTTATAGCTTATTTTAAGCTACTAATAAGCTATAAGTTCAGTTTGGTAATGTTTTCAAAATAAGCTCGTAACTTAAAATAAGAGCTTATAGCTTATTTTAAGCTATACTAATAAGCTATAAGCTCTGTTTGATAATGATCTCAAAATAAGCCCGTGGCTTAAAATAAGAGCTTATTTTGGAACATTAACTTAGGTAGCGTTTCAAAATAAGCTAGTAGTTTCCTAACATTTTTTCCATCTTTGTCCTTATTATTTTAAAGAGATGACATCCTTTATCATTCACAAACATAGCCAATGTGTAAGTTAATTAAATGAGAAAGTATTATTAAACGCTAACTTGTTACATTCATGATAACCACATGGTTACAAGTTTAATTTATAACAAAAGTGACCGATTGACTTTTTTGGTTGGTCAACTATGGACAATTTATGTTTTTTTATTATTATTATAAAGAAAGGATACCCTACATATACACACTACTTGCCTCAACTGAAGTTCAAACCTATCACCTCCCACTTAGGAGAGCAACCAGGTACCGGTGAACCACAAGGTCCTTGGTATGGACAACTTATGTTGTTTGGTCCTTCATCAACTATAGTCACACGATGTGATTTATCTAATGAACACCCTAAAATAGTGGTTACAAATTTCTTTAATTAAAAAAAAAAAAAAAAAAAAAAAAACATGTTCCGACATGCTATTAAGATATTTGAATTGAATTTAAAATTATTTCTTTTTTCAAAATGGGGCATGTATTATTCCCTTATCGAAAACTTCCATGAACAAGAAAACAACGAGAAACTTCAGATCATAGTGCGGTCAGCAGACAGTTTGGGTCCCTCCGGAATATGTGACAAAAAAGGCATGAAATAACCATGGTTTTTACAAAAGACTAAAACTTATCTTTTTCGTTTTTCTTGACGTACCAAAATTCACAGGAAATAACAAAGTTAAAGATTCATCTAAAAAAAGAAAAAGTTAAAAGGATCCAATATGTCAACAATTGTATTGTTATTACTAGCAATAGCATGCTCGTGGCAAATTATATTATCCATCATGGTCCACTTTACATTTTCGATCATGATTCATTATTATAATATTGTAAATTTATTAAAAAATCATGATTTATTATTATAATATTATAAAGTTATTATAACAACATTGTAAGTTTATTAATATGGAGTAGGCATGATCGCGTTTGCACACATTTAATTCGCGTTCGCACACACTTAATCTAATCTAGACCATTAAAAAATATTAGATGGATGCACACGATTTGTTCTCATATTCTCACCTAAGCAAGTGTTTTCATAT